AAATAGTCCTTGTAGTGCTACTCACCTTCATCATCAAAAAATACCAAAAATATTACAGTACAGTCCAACTCAGTTCTAGCAGTCCAAAGCAGCTTCCTGAAGACTCACAAGGTTATCATATCATTTGGAAAAGCATTCAGATCTAAAACAACCAATGCAGCCCAGAGGTAAGTCCTCTTGACTTGATATCTTATCATTACATCATTAACAAGCTGTTGTTCTTTGAAGACAAGATGTAGTACTTTAATATCTTTTTGAACTAGTCATATGCACCTTGTTTAGGCTTATTCAATCATTTGTTGTTCATCTTTATCCATCATATGCCATAAGCTAACCTGTACATTCAATAAAATAATATTTAAGGCAGGAGAATGCAGCATGTATCGACACATATCCTCATGTGTCGACTAATCCTAGTGAAAAAACAGGGTATGAGTCGACACATAACCCCCATGCATCAACTCATACTGATTTCAGGTTACAAAATATAAGTGGGAAAAGACTATGAGTCGACACATACGCGTTTCGTGTCGATGCAAGAAGGTGCATGAGTTGACACATCCCATTATGTGTCAACTCATACTGAGCAGATTTTGTTTTACAGGAGCAAGGAAAAGCTATGTGTCGATGCATAGCAGCATGGGTCGAGACATAGCAGTTCAAAATGCAGTTTTCCTTTTATTTTACACTATTTTTACATTGTTATTATTATCATTCGATATGGTTGTAATATTTCAGTCTCCACTTCATCCCCATTGTAAATTTGTACCCCCATCCCCCTAAAGTGATGTAATAGCTTAAGATTTATTTTCCGCATGTTTACTTGCTTTCATATATTGCTAGTAATTAGGATGTATGGCCAGGTAAAATAAGCAAATAGATAACCTTTCAAATACAAGACAAAATGCATGCAAACTAACACACTTGCACACTAATATCTCTAGGGTAATTCCATTTGTTGCCTATCGGAAAATAGTCATGTCCCTCGAACATGGGCGTTTTAGCAAAAGACACTCGATAAAAGATCGTAGTCCCTCGATGACCCTCGATGTTGCCTTCGGCAAATGATCTAGTCCTTAAAACGACATTGCTAAAACCTCCCATATGTTGCCTTCTATGACTATACAAACGTCCCACGCTCGTCCCTTCACATCCAACGATGGGGCTTCTTATCAAATCAATGGTAAGATAGCAACATCTAAAGGAGGAGGAAAAGCACACTTAAGACCCTTCGAGTAGATAGATTCACTCTTAGTTACTCGCTTGCTCACAACAAAAACATTTTTACCCACACTCTCATTTTTGAACTATTTTCGAAACAAACACTTTGTAGGCGTTCTTATAGAAACGAGAACCATTATGAAGTTCCATTTTCGAAATACTTTCAAAAACACATCTCACAAACACACTTTTGAACTATTTTCGAAACAAACACTTTGTGGGCGTTCTTATAGAAACGAGAACCATTACGAAGTTCCATTTTCAAAATACTTTCAAAAAACCACACACCACAAGCACATTCAAACAAAAGCAAGTGATCTAGCGAGTAACTAAGATCCCATGGAAAACCATGGATGAAAAGGGTGCTAACATATTCCCTTTTCATAATCTACCCCCCGAACTCAAGAAAACATCTCTAAAGGTCTTTCCTGTGCTTTTTCACCTTTCCTTTTTGGATAAAAGAAAAGTCGGCAGCGACTCTTGCTAAACCACAACATTTGCGATCAAACGCAAAACATCAAGTCAGTTCTCCCACCGTATCACACCAGTCTTCGACATCATGACCAAGTCATAAATCCCCATATCCTTCCAGGTTTGGGCCTGCATTTTTTCCATCTTACTTGGCCATTCTGAATACTCTGAAGTAAGACTAGGGCAAGATCGAAAGATCTTGTTCCCCTTGTTCATAAACTGAAGGTTGGTGTCTTCCTTTGTTTGAGAGTGTTGCTGGTTAGCAGGGGTTGCATCCTGAGGGTCATTCCTGGGTTTCTTGGTGCAACCTATAGGCTTGAGCCTAGGGTGAGTTGGGAAGAAGGTATTATTTTGTTTTGGGTTCTCGAAGCATGCAGAGAGTGGGTCAGACATGGCATACATGGACCCAAAATACTTAATAGGAATGAGTAACTAAGAGTCATAAGCTTCACATTATTCTCTGGTCATGGGTTCAGAAACAACCCTTCGCTCCCCAGTCGAAACAGGAACAGGACTAGTGGAGAAGATCTTTGGTTGTCGTTGTAAGTCAGAAACGTTCTTAGTTTTGGGATTGTTTGGTGCATTTGAAAGGAAAGCCATGGTTGAAGGTAGTGAAAGAACTAAGAAGATGAAGTTCTTAAGACTTTTCTTTACAAGGAAATAAGGAATATTAGGAGTTGTAAAAAATTCCAAAGAAAAGGATTCGTGGCTATTTATAGTGTTCAGGGAAGAGTGTTTTCCCTCAAGACCATTTAATGCTGCAGAGTTAGTGGGGCATGTGGTGAACGTTGAGGTAATTATCATACAGGTAATGGAAACATTTTCCATACTTTCCTAGGTTGTAGGGATAATGGCCATCACGACAACATAGTAACGGCTGATTGATAGCGACATATTGGGAAAAAGGTAATGATGAATCTGAATACCAGCAGTGGTTGGTAGAAGGTGAAAAGCGCACGATTGACTTCTGTGGCAAAAAAGAAGACAGGTGTCGAATGAGAATCTCAAAGAATGATCATTTCTTCTTGCGTCGAAATTGACATTCTTGGGGGGCAATTTGTTAGCTCCTAAATTCGACACCCACAACAAATTGGCCTTATGGGCCAAAAATAGATTGAACAAATCTAAGCTGGAAATACTTCGACAGATTGGAAAATACTTAGAGAAATTTCTGAGTTAAAGTTAATCTTCGACCAGAAGATTCTTGCGGCCTTCGACTGAAAGGGCTCCAGGGCCTTCGACTGAAAGGAAACCCCGTATCAGCAACAGGTGATTTTGAATCTGAAGAAAGGAGGGAAAACCAGTTCGTTTGGCAGTTGAGGAAAGTAAGTTAGCATGAAGATAAAGGTCGAAGCATATGCAGAAGACGCTTGTCCTCATCCTAGAGCAAAGCAACTCCTCGACGGTTACCTAGTTTTAATATAAATATAGGAAGTTTATGTAGATTTTCGGATGTTCAACTAACTGTACAAGTCATTCAATACTATTCGAGTACCTGCTGCGTGAGAAAGAATACTGAAAATGTACGTTTGAAACACCACATTTTATAATCAAAGTCTTTTACATTCCTCTTTACATTCCTTGCCTTTTTATCTTGCTTGCAAAAATCGATTTTTCCTTGCATTCTATTTTCCCTTGCATTTTACTTGCACTTTTTATCAGATTTCTGCACTTAAACTCTTCTCAATCCCTTTTCTATTTACTTTCTACACTCAAACTCATTTCAAACCTCAATCTTTCCCGGTCAAACGCGTGTTCTTTATTTATATTAGCATTTATATCCAAACAACGCCAATAATTAGCACATGTCCTAGGATCAAACTGATCGATACTGCGATTAACCAAAAAATTATCCTTTTTAGAAGATCAGCAGTTGTTTACCGATCAACACGGTAAACAGTATTACTATTAGAAGTTAGTCGTCTAAATAAAATGGAGCACTGAAAACACTATTTACAACAATTATTTTAAGGGACGTTTATTTATGAATTGTAAATTTATTCTCAAAAATATATATTGAATTATTTTTTATGTCAATGTTTGTTTTAAGTTATAAAAAATTATGTTTAACACATAGTTTTATCATTTTCTATTTTCATGTTATAGAGTAAAAATCTGTCTCATAAGAATAAGAATTAAACACCGGTAACTTCTCATTATTAAATATTTATTTTAATTTAAAATAAATATATTTTATAAATATTATTTAAAATATTATCTTAAATAATATTTCTAAAAATAACATTTTAAAGATTAAAATTTTATACTTTGAAACAAACCCACTCTAACACTTGCTTTTTTTTTTCAGGTGAAATTCGTGTGGATCTTTATGCGATGCTCACTCATTTATAAAGTATGAGATTTATATTAACTTAGAGTGATTGTTAAAAAAGAATACTCTTAATGCTCTTTATATAAAATATATATATATATATATACCACACTATCGCAATAGTAATCACTTTATTTTGTCAAATCTAAATCTCATATGGTTGTCACATACATGACTTTCACATGCACTAAAATAGTAAAAAAATAGAGTATTGACCAGTCAAAAGGCTTAGCTAGCTCATTTACAACGTCAATATTTTAATATCTGCCGACAAAAAATAAGAAAGTAATTCTAATGTTTGTGAGAGATTTACCAAAATATATATTACTAAATAGAGTAGCATGCATAATAAAGAGAATGGATCTTCAATCAAGAAGAGAAAATATACAAAGAACACTACTCGTTAGACATAGTAACGGGGCGGATGAGAGCGGATTTAAACACATTCAATTTCGATCCAAATCTAGAGCTGCTTCCACCCCTTAAATTCATTTGAAAATAATAATTCTGATAAATATGATATTGTAATATTAAAATGTGTAAATAAGTAATAAAACTATTAAAAATAAATGAAATAAATTAGATTTAGTTGACGAGTACGAGGCGGATACTAGCATCCTCCGCATCCACTCTCACCCATAAATAAAAATCGGGTTTTCTCCACATCTATATCGGTCCTCATTTAAATTGAATTTTCTCCTATAATTTCGAAATAGATTTATTTACCATATCTACTATTCTTATGGGGAGTGGAAAACTCATTACAATCTAATGTAGAAAATATTATTTTGATTCTCCATTTGAAAGGCATTTAATCTTGACATCTCCAAATCATAACACATATAGTATACATTTAAAAGTGAGACATCTCTAAATTCATAGCACAAATATTTGATAATGAATGTCTCATAATGATCCTCTCAGACCAATCTATATAAATAAGAAAGTATTGTTCTTTCTGTTCCTCCACACCACCATGACTAGAAAGAAGGTAAAACTAGCATACATACTCAACGACTCCGCGAGGAAGGCGACATTCAAGAAAAGGAAGAAAGGTCTAATGAAAAAGGTTAGTGAACTTAGCACTCTTTGTGGAATTGATGCTTGCGCTATAATCTACAGTCCTTACGATCTTCAACCCGAGGTTTGGCCATCATCAATAGGAGTCCAAAGGGTGCTTTCGAAGTTCCGAAGAATGCCTGAATTGGAACAAAGTAAAAAGATGGTGAATCAAGAAAGTTTTTTGAAGCAGAGGATTCAAAAAGCGAAAGATCAATTAACAAAACAAAGAAAAGATAATAGAGAAAAAGAAATGACTCAGTTAATGTTTCAATATCTTAGTTCCGATAAAACTATGCAAAATATAAGTATGCTTGATTTGAATGAAATGGCATGGTTGATTGATCAATATTTGAAAGATATCAATAGAAGGGTTGAAAAGTTGAGTAAGAATGGTCAAGGACAATCTCAAATGGTAGCACCAACAATGGTGACTAATGCTGTGGCTAAGATTGAAGATAGTGGACAAGGGAGCCACGGTTGTCATGTTTTGGATATGAATATGGATGCTATGCATAAACAACATTGGTTTATGAATCTGATGAATAATAGTGGTGGGGATGAGGCACCACCACCTTTGGGAGATGTTAATCAACAAAATGGATTTTGGCCAAATCCATTTTTTCCTTGAAGTCATGTGTTGTTTGCCGTTGTGTTTTGAAAATAAGTGACCTTGGATTGATCCATGGTCTATGATTTTTGTATGTTCGTTTCTTTGTTTCACCACTTTTACATCTATCTTGTTTGTAAAAATGTTTGGTTTATGAAATGTTGTTAAGTTTGAATAAACATTGTTTTCGAATAATTTGTTATGTGATATTCACATGAATCAAAACATATTTTTAATTCGCACGAATATAAAAAATATAACACTTACACTAACACGATGAATAGATTAACAAGTGTCAGCGTCGATTTCAGACACTCACACATACACAGACACATTTATCAGAGGTGTTTGTGCCATCGTTTTAGAGCATATAATTTCTATGAACTTTATTCATGTATGTAAACTTTATACATCAAAGAATTTTCTCTCTATAAATGAATCTACCCTGTACCCAAAAAAATGAACAAATCTCATTGTCATGAATCAATACATAGAAATGCATCTTAGTTCTTAAGATGCTTGAACTCTAAAGAAGACTCAACACATTCTGCTTTGCTTCTATAACCATTCAACATCTTCAACAACTCAGTAGCATTCTCCTTTGTTTTCTCCTCACACCCAACTTGCAACATAACCAATAGTTTCTGAAAAGCACCAAGTTGAATCACCTCAATCAAAACACCTTCTTCCTTCTTCTCACACATCTTCCTAACAATACCAACAGCAAAACTAGAAGCTAAAGGAGAAACCCTCAAAATTTTCTTAATCACAAGAGGTAAAGCCAAAGCATTCATTTTCACAACCTCTTTCCCTTTCTTGCAATCACATAAACAATCCAACACCCCAAGTGCTTTCTCACATACCCCTTTCTCTCCATCAACTATTGATTCAAGCAAAAATGAAACCAAACCCAATTCAACAAACCTTTCACCAACTTCAACCCTATTTTTACTCGATGAAACCATCTTGAAAATTGTGGTCAAACATGCTTTTGTAGCACTTGACCCAATTGGTTCCTTAATAATCTTAACCAAACCTTCAACAACACCTTCAACTTTTGACAATTCCTCAACATTCATTTCCTTAAGCAACAAAACAGCATTTTGTCTTGCTCCTAAATCTTTACCATCTAGAAACCAAACCAAACAATCTAAAGAAGACAAAGACGAACACAATCTGGATTTTGTTTCACCAAAAGAGGTTATAACAACCATCCATGTTAAAATCTCCAAAATCTCCTCCAAAACAACAACATGATCCTCAAAAGAAACACTTGAAAAAGAATCAAAAACCGTTGCAAGAACAGAACAAACTCCATTTCCAACTATAACCCTCTTATTCCTCTCACTCTCTCTCCACCAAACCTTAATCTTTCCGACAAACTCCACACACTTTTTCTCATCCAAGTTTTTAGAACCAGACAACAACCTCGTACAAACCTCGGAAACCTCGTAGCCAGAAACCGGTATACGAGGAGTCGGAATCCTCTCAATCCCATAAGAACTATTCTCAACACACCAACTCTGAATCATTTTTCTTATGGTATGATTCGGCGTGATCTCGAAGGTTGTAAGCTTCTGATTAGTAACCGGACATGTTTTGTTTCCGGACTCAATCCATTTCTCGATGCTTCCTCTGTCGTAGGTGATTCCGGTTGATAGAGTCACCGGATCTTTCATCAAGTCTAGACTCACCGGACACCGGAAGTGAGACGGGATTGTTATGTCCTCCACAGTTAAATCAACTGCAGAAAGGTGTTCTTTTGCCTTGTGAGAACGGCGGAAAACGGTTCTTCTTGTCCATGACAGAACCATTTTTGTGTGTCTGTTTTTTGTTAAATGATGTAGTTTATTAATTTTGTTTGTGTGAAGTGGTTAATGATATGAAGAGAAAGAGGCTGAGTTGTTTGGTTTTATATTTGGTGAGAGTTGAGAAGTGTGTGAGACTATGGTACGCGGGTCAAAGCTAGGTAAGATGAAAGGTTGAATAAGAGTATTTAAGTAATGTAGGAGGGGAGAGGGTATTGTATTGTAGTGTAGGTGAGTATTTGAATGTTGACCGTTGAATGTTTCAATATTTGAAGGAGGAGGAGGAAAAGGACTATTGTTTATGAGCTGTGTTGTGAATAATATTAAAGATGATGTGGTGGGTGGGTGGGTGTGTGACTCAGAAATTGAAGTTTGGAGCTAGCATCGACTTATGCGCGTGAGGAGGCGACATGGTATATCCGTGTAGCGTGTCCTTGTGCTGCACACGCCACTTTTATGTTTTGTTTTCACCACATACTTATACTTTTAAAAAATTAACCAACCAACCAACGAAAATCAACCTGAATATACAGTAGTGTTGAATCTGTTCGGTAAAATAATATTGATAATCTCTCTAAAGTTGGTTGGGAGAGACTGCAATGTGTATAGAGAAGTATTGTATATGGTTATTGTTTCGTTTGGTCTATGACGATCTCTTTCTTTTATAGGCTTTCTTGTAAGACAGTGATAGTCAATGTCATGAAGTCATATTCATGGCTATTGATGTGGTATCTGTCATATGAGAGACACGTTTAAACACCCTCTTAAATGTCAAGATGGGTCCTATGTGGTCAAACTCTCTATGGTCGGACTCTCTGTGGTCGAGCTCACCTTTAGACGATTTAGGATGTATGGTCGGGCTCTCTGTGGTTGAGCTCTGCTTAGAAGATTCGAGACATAGGTCTAAGATGTACATAAGTCTCTCAAGCGTGAGTTCTGTTAAGGGTGAAGTAATTTAGTCGAATTTGGGACATGGGCCTAGATGTACATAAGTCCATCAAGCGCGAGACCTATTAAGGGCGAAACAATTTAGTCAAATCTGGGACATGGACATTGGATGTACACAAGTCCCTTAAGCACGAGGCGTATTGAGGGCGAAGAGATTTAGTCAAATTCGGGACATGGGCCTCGGATGTACATAAGTCCTAAAGCACGTGGCCTGTTAAGAGTGTAGCGATTTAGTCAAATATGAGACATGGACCTCGAATGTTCATAAGTCCCTCAAGCGCGAGGCCTGTTAAGGGCAGAGCGATTTAGTTGAATCTGAGGCATGAGTCTCAGATGTTCATAAGTCCCTCAAGCACGAGGCCTGTTAAGGGAGAATAGATTTAAGCTGAGTCACGCGAGACCTGTTAAGGTTAATGCGCTTAAGTGTTTATTTCCCCTAAGGGGGTCTTTTGTAGTTTCCTGTCTATTCAAGATGTCTCCTTAATATGTGAAATTCTGGCTGCAGATACTCAATGTCACGTTCAATGTTATGACACCGTATCTGACTTTCTATAAGACAGTAAATACAAAAACAGTAAAGAACACAGTCAATTGTTTACCCAGTTCAGTGTGCAACAACACCTACTCTGGGGGCTACCAAGCCAGGGAGGAAATCCACTATAAGAGATATTAATTCAGGAATAAACCAACCAGTTTATCTCCTTCACTTAAGACCTACCCAATGCAACTTCAACCTAAGTACAACTTAAACCTGAGTTCCTACTCACTCCCCCTCAATCACAGCAGTGATACATAAAACAATTTGACTAATGATTTGATGAAGACACTCTTCAAAACATACACTTGATTATGCTTCACAGCTTTTTAATCAAGCAACACAAACACTCTTGCTTCACAGCTTTGAGTGATATACAAACCTAACTTGACTTTGCTTCACAGCTTTAGTCAAGAGACATACAAACACTCTTGCTTCAAAGCTTTGAGTGTTACACAACCCTTACAATTAAAACCTATTCCAAGTCACTTATCACAATGATAATTGCTTGGATTACAATAGTTAAAACTATACAGCTTCTAAATGATCTTCTGTCAAAAAAGGGATTTCATTCAAAACAGCAGCCCTGTTGAATATATAGCAGCTGTATCTTCAGTTAGGGTTTCCCCAAAAAGCTAGGGTTAATTCCGTTTGACCTTAAGACTAGGTCACAGGACTAGATCAACCAGGTTGGGGTTGAGCTAGGTTAACCCAAAGAAAACGCAGGATTCTGTTCTAGAAAGACTGAGTCATTTTCCTGAAAAAACTCAGAATTAACCAAACTGCATACCTGTTAGTTCAGAACAGGATGTCTTAACATTTGTTATGACATCTGAATTCCTGTTTACTGATTTTGGTAAATGTAATTATTTTGCAAAATGCTCAGATACACACTCATAAACATCAGTACCTGTATGACAATATTTTTCTGCAAAGGTACCTAATAAATCTGTACCTAATAAACTAGAATGTTATGACATCAGTCATGACATTCATACACCTGGTTTTACCAAAAATGCATGCCAATACCTAAACAACTACAAACTCCCCCTTTGGCAGATTTTTGGCTAAAGCCCCTAAGCAATCAGAGATAGATAGCAGCAGAATAAATATGACTGCAGAAAAATAGAATGTCTAATAAAGTACCAAAATATATCTCCCCCTCTTTAGCCACAAATGGGCCAAAGATACATGTTCTTAAAATTTATACAGACATCCAGAAAAATTAATGAGAACAGCAACTAAAAAATGAACACACTTCCAAACTCTACCAGGTACCAGCACCAACTCCACCAATCAACAACTCCACCAACCTTTAAGCACTGTCATCAGACTCAGAGGATTCGAGCTTCTTCCTTTTCTTGTGAGTAATGTCAGCATTCTTCTCTTTGTCTGATGTCTCAACATCCTTAGAGACATCTGGATTTGTTTCAGCATTTGAACTTTCTTGATTTAAAGGAACAGAAATGCCAGGAACTAAGTGGTTCTCGATCAGAATTCTTGAAACAATTTTAGCTATTGCTTGACGAACATAGGCTGACCCTTCCCTATTTGCAATTTCAGGGGGAACTGAAGAAGAAGGATGAGATGGATTACCAGAGGCAGAGGCTTGGGACCTTCCTGCATGTCTTGTTCTCAGCTCTTTGACCTTGGTGGGGTTAGTTTCCACTTTTCTAAGAGAAGAGATCTCCAGGACTTCAGAGTCCAGACAAGAAGAGATTGTCCTAGAA